CCGACGGCGTCGCGACGACTCGCGGGCGACCGCGCGCGATGACGACGACGCGACCGCGCTCGAGCGCGCGCGCGGGCGGAGGCAGACGGCGGTGACGAGGACGCGAGCGGAGACGCTGGAGGGGAACGATGGGCGGCGCGACGGACGCCGACGTCGACGACTGACGACGACGCGCGACCGCGACGACCGCGAACAGAGGGATGAGCAGAAACGTCTTGGTGACCGTCCTGCGCGTCCTGCCGCTGGCGCTGTACCTGCGGAGCGCGGCGTGTAAGTTTGGCATTCCGATCGCCGGGTGCGACGGCGCGTTGTGCCCGGTCGCCGTCGGTAAGCCGGGGACGTGCGTCCCGACGGCGAACACGCTCGAGCAGTTGGCGTGGTGCGAACACGCGTGGACGCCGTGGGCGAATAAGCTCCTGTCGACGGTTAAGCTGCCGATTAAGGTTCGATGCTCGGCGAAGGATGGGTACGAGTTCGCGAAGATTATCGGCGCGTTGGAGCTCCTCGGGTACGCCGCGCTTTGGACGAATCCCTCGCAAGGGGCGACGATGCTCACGGTCATCATGATCGGGGCGATTCACTTCCACATGACCTTCTTGAAGGATCCGGTGGGGAAGCTCGGGATCCAGTTCGCCCTGCTCTTCGCGTCGCTCGCGATCATGTTCCTCACCGGCAAGCCGAACAAGGCGCAGCAAGTGAAGAAGAGCGCATCGACGCGACGATCCTCGTCTCGCAAGAAGCGCAACTAATTCAGTGATGTTATGACATCTATTAAAACAACAGAAAAAATCGTGTACATTAAAATTTATCCTCTCAAGGATTCGACGCGAGCGCTCGGGTGAGGAACTCATCAACCGTTGGGCACATCGCAGCCGGGAGGCATTCCATGACGTCGAGGAGTTCTTGATCGTCGTTTGAATCGTGAGCCTCGTCGAGCCATTCGAGCACATCCTTGGCGCTGGCTATCATGGCAGAAATATCACAAAGTCGCCCGCTCAGTGTGTCAACTTCCAGTGCATCGGTTGGCGGCGAGGAGTGAGCACCCGGTTTGGAAATGTTCACGGCAATTCCCAACTCACGTCGAGCCGGTTTGAACCATTCGTACAGCTTGTTCACCAGACCGACGTAAATGAGCATCGGCTTGAGCCGATTAAAACGTTCGGACGCATCGAAATCGTCCCAGACTGCCGCCGAATCATTCGTGGCGTACGTTGAAATATGTGTGCATCCATACTTTTTCGCGTGCCGCACCGCGGCGATCAACACGTTTCTTCGAGCGGCGCTCCATTTTTCGTTGGACCACGACACAAGAGAAAGCACGAGCGCGGCTGGGAGCACCGGAGAGAAACTCGATTCCTTGTCTCCCCACAACTCGTCCTCGCCGGACAAGCGAGAGAGCAAACCGTTGAGTTCCTCCAACCCTTTAGTTGGGCTCAGCGAGACTTGATGCACGAGGAGCCGCATCATGTAAGGCAAAAGGTTCATGTTACTCTCCTTGCCACCGCCGCGACAATCGATACTGAAAGAAACGTTCATAGCGAACCGACCTAGAAGTAAACCGATATCCCAAGCGACCTGTCTCGCTCGCGTTGGTGGAGAAATGAAAGCTCCGATGGAGAAGCAATTTTGCCACCAAGTTTCGACGGCAGAGGTGTATGTTGCATCTGCGACCATCGTTCCCATGATGGGAAGCATGTTATTGCACAGAGTCTCACTGTTACGTAACGCAGCCCCTTCCCACTCTCGTTTTGGTACGCGCAGCGCAATATCGGCGCGTTTTGCTGACTGATGACACGAAAAGTGAATTGCGTTGAAATGTGATACAGTGCACACAGTGTGAGACACATCCCCGTTTGCTGACGGCGTTGATGTGAGTTTATTGAAGCAATATATGCCTAGCAGCTCGTTTGGCTTCAGGGAATAACCTTCAAAACATACTCTGCAGACTATGGAGTCATCTTCATTCTCGATGGCCATCGATTCGTATCCCTGGAGAGACCTTGGTGAAGCGGATACGCCGATCGTCGATGCTCCGGGACTTGAAGTATTTGTTATGACCTTCATACCCATTTCTGCCAACATTTGCTCCCGCTTTCTGTGCGCTTTTCGTCGATTTTCTTCGCGCGTCGCGGCTCGCATACCTTCAAGGCACGTTTTCACTGTATCAGAACTGCTCGCGAACGTCTCCAAGCAATTTTCTGACAAAGTTCCCACGTTACGCTCGGTGACAGATTCGAGTTTGTGGAGCAAATCCAGTAAATCGTGATGCTCTTCCATGTCGAGTACGTAACCTTCAGCAACGCCATTCAGGAGCTCAAGAGCGAGTGGTAATCCAGCACGCTCGATTGCCCCGGTCCAACTCGATGTACCACGTTGCCGAGCGCCTTCGGCACCGAAAGCTTCGTACACGATGTACTTCATTATGAAGGAGACTGTGCCTTCAGATTTTATGGCTTCAAGCACGCGTCGACCCGAAACATCTCGTGGAATGGCCTCTGCAAGTCTTGCCGAGCACTCGAGCTCTAGTTGCAGCTCTCCAAATTGCGCGTCATCATCGCTCATCGCATCGAGCTCGATGAGCTTGCGAACAGATTCGTCAAACGTTTTGGCCATCGTATTCCTCGACTCACTCGTGGATCCAGCGAGTCTAGGAATGACACGTGCGAGAATGTCCGCTTCGTGCTTTTCACGATCGTTAATGCACTGTCTGAGTTGAGCCAAGAAGATAGCCACGTGGTTCGTATCTTGATCACGATTTGATAAGGCGATTGTGTGCAACGACGAGCCACTCTTATGAAGTCGAGGAGAGCCAGTTCGTAGTGGTGCAATACTTGTTCCCTCGAGCTCACGTGCGAGAAGACTGTTCGATGACGACGATTGATGAACCTCACTCATCACTCCTTGTTCCACATCGTCTTGTTCTTCTGTGAGTAACGACTCAATGATCGGTAGAAGTTCTTTACCAGAGCGGGCATTCTGAGTGAACGCCTGCGCCGACTCGTCCAATATGCTCGGTAACGCTCCAGTTGCAAGCATACTCTGCCTGTTTTTCTTTATGTAGCAAGCCGAGTGAAGGATATCGAATAATTGCACGTAAGCGTTCGCCCCACCGCTGGCACGTTGCAGTGATGAGTTGCCTCGAATCTTTGGCAAAAGTTGAATCAACGTTCTGAAGCCATTCCCCTCTTGGAAGATTTTTGTTCCAGAAAACTTAGCCTCCACATCCTCATCGTCATGTTGAACCGGTGCAAGTTCATCTACGCGTTCCTCTGTCGCTTCTCCATCCAAGCCGCTTAAACGGAAAGTCACCGCCATCGGTGGCCCGATGGGGTCCGTCGAAGAAGCGCTTCGATGCCGTGTCGCGCCGTTGAATAACGAGGGTATCCAAACTCGCTCAAACACATCCTCTACGGACAAATCCAAACTGATGATTTGATTCGCGACGAGTAACTCCATACCAAAATCATCTTCAACAAGACCAGGCATGTCAAGTTCGCGACATATGAGATTCTTAACGTCCCGCATCAGTGGAGTAGCGCTCATCTGTGCCGTCGAGTATGGATTTCGTGCCATGGTCCCGGGAATGAACTCTTCCTGGGTCGCACTTTTGAGCAACCTCAAGAGATACACCTTGACGGGCGGTGCTTTGGGTAGCACTAGCATCGCAAGTTCGCCCAAAATAACGTGCAAAGGCAGCAGATTTCTGTCAGAGACCATGTTTAGTCCAGTGTGGGCTTCAGCTAGCTTGACGCAAATTCTTGCAATCTGAGGACGCATCAGCTCCGAAGCATCTTCGCACATTGACAGAAGATGATCAAACGTATCAGAAGCACTGATTGCGCTCGGAGCTTGACTGAATCGCAGCGCGCGAGCGCAGAGAGTCGTCCGTACGAGCGTCTCTAGCCCCTTTTCAGTGAATTTGTTCATAAACTGCTTGGACTCCGCAAAAACATCATTGAGAAGAAGTGAAACGGAATGTAAACCCGCCGCAACGTCCACGTTTATCGATGCAAACAAAGCATTCTCAGACACGGTGTATTTGGAACAAAAGTCAAGCTCCTTCTGAAGCATTGCCAAAAGAATCTCCGCGAGTTGGTGAGAGTCGGTAAACTCTGCAATGGTCGCCTCATTGCAAACACAGAGGCTTAATGCGCTAAGAAAGTCTGAGTGTGCGACGTGCTCGGAATCAGGTGTTGCACGCAGCAGTAAACTTCCAACTTTTACGTTCATGTCTTCTCGCACGACATGCTCAAGAATTTGCATGACTTCGTGGCGGACGAGTTTTGATGCGCTGCGCAACGCGCAGATGAGCCATGGAAGCAAACAAGAGACACTACGAGCGTCTCCATCACCGGCTCCTTGCGATACGATCCATTCGTTCAGTTGATTGTCCGCATTTGCACACGAAGTCGTGGCCGCAACAATCTCTTCGAGAATGAAAGAGTTTGTCATTCCTTGTTTGACGAGACCGAGCGCAGGCAACACCGTGTTCTCCGCCAGAGCTGCGTTTGCCACCAGTTGATCTGAACTGAGCGTCCGACACGCGAGATTCATCAGAGACACGCGCTCATTACCTTGCTTTGAACTAATACCAGCTTCCACGCGGTACGTGCTCGAATGGACTAGCTCCTTGAGTAGGAGAATATCTTGATTGTTTTGCGAAACCATGGAGCTGTGCCACGCATTGTTCTGAAACAAAGCTTGCGTTGCCCGCTCGTATGCTGCATGACAGAGATACATTGAAACTTCCTCATTCCGCGCTGCTATGTTGCATAGAATCGTACGCACCGTTTCGCACGCACGCCATCCAGATGTGAGGGGATTGAGCATTCGTTCGAAAAGATACTTGTGCAAGCTGCTGTTGCTGAGCGTACGCACTCCGAGAGGAGTTCGCGAGAGGCTGGTGCAAAGTTTCAGCGCGCATTGAAGATAGTCGTAACACGTTCCGTAATGGCTGGAGAACACATCGGCGCGTTGGACGCTCTCCGAATCGGCGTTTGACAAGTATAGCGAAATCGAGTTGCGAATCGCATTACTTTTATACTTTGCAGCGATGAGTTCAATCCGTTGTCCTTTGCTGACGGAATTGAATAAATGCTCAATATCGCCCGATCCGTCACTCTGCTCGAAAAGAGCTCGTCTCATAGAATTAGCAGTCGAACTGATACTCTCGTTGAGACGCCGCACGGTCTCTGATTGCAACTTCAGTTCTTGAATTGCATCGGAGAGATCTTCTTCATTCCGCAACTGTGGGTAACGTCTACACAATGACGGATGTGCGTGCAAAATTGTTTGAATCTTGGCATACCTGCAGTGTCCGCATTCGCTGCAAATGAACGCATCGAGCTTTTCGTAATTGATATTTCGACAGTGCCTACACTGATACGCATTTTCGCGGCAGTTCGTACAGATTCCATGTTTCGTGTCCGTGACTTGTCGAGCACATCGTGGACACTGCAAAATGGTCATCATCTTTGCTTGGAGGTTCTCGTGGAAAGACTTAAACACGAAGTTCAACGCCGCTGCATCGACTGGTATGTCAAACTTGAGCTCAGCCGTTCGCGCCGTGGCAGAGTATCGCAGGGTTCCGAGATATTGCCACCGAGAAGGATCGAACATGCGCATGGCATTCATGTCCTTGTTCAGCGTCGTGCGCCAAACTTCAACTTCCTTCACATGGATATATGTCTTCAGCTCTGTTATACTCGTGGAAATGGAGTCTATCGTCATCGACTCCTTTAGTTTTGTCATGGCACTGTTTTTCGTGAACGCTTGACTCTTTTTCAATGTATCCAGTGAGTGATTAGTGAAATCCTGACATGCGATGTAAGAAGCTATGTCTCGCATGCTTGAGTCGGTCTCCAACCAGTACTCATCGGCCGCATCTCCGAGTAAAATTTGGCGTTGCTTCAACTCCCGGTAAATGTCGGCTCTTGGATGATCACTGACCCGCAAAAGTACGTCCTTAAGGTCGCCACAAAATTGATCGATGCTTGACTGGTGCGAGGAGATGGCATCCGTGTCTGTCATGATGATGCTCTTCATGAATTCCAGTAACTCGTTTGCGCGATGGCCAAAATCTCTGACGTTTCCCATCGATGACATCAAGACGCCCATGACATCATCTCGATATGTTTCGCATGAATACCAAATAACCTTCAAGATATTTATCGCGGATGTACGGGTTTCGGATTCGACAGCAGCGAGCGCGCATTTGTTCACGATGATGCTCAGATCTTCGATGATTTCCCGCATAATTGAAGTACGGAGGGCGCTGTTTGAGCCTTCAAAATTGAGCGCTTCCACGACGCAAGAGATCAGATCGCACGCTCGTGTGGCGAAAATACTCGGCAGATGTGGCGTGGCTTTCATCAGACTGGCGATGAATTCAGTGGCGAATTCGATGTTTTCAAGAAAGTAGCGCAAGCTTGCGCGGTCCTCTTTTGCAACTGCGACAGCTTGTGTGATAACGTCCTTCATATGCGTCAACTCATCGTAAGAGACTTCGTCCGCGTACCACGGGGATGTGAAACTTTGCTTCGTGAGCTTCTGAAGAGTATGTGTAAAGTTTAGCAAACTCCCAGCCCGCACCAAGACTTTCACACCACCGTCACTATCATCATCCTGGACGAGTTGCTTCAACATCAAAACAGCGTTGTCAGAGCGACCTGCCGGTATGAGCGCAGCTACGCGGGACAACACTGTGAGCCAATCGTGCTTCTCACGTTCAGGTAGCTCCTCCACGTCGAGTGCACGTAGGTGCGTCGACGCATGCAGTATAGTGGAATCAAGGGCGCTGATGATTGTATCGAACGTCTTCTCCGTGGCGCCGATGCTCTTGAGCAGTGCTCCATGGCCTTCTTCATTTGGCATTTCCTCCACTTCGCGCATATCACTGCGTCTTAGCAAATCACAAACCAATGCATATGCATGCAACAGTGCCTCTCGTGCGTCGTTCGCTTTGATATCTTGTAATTGCGAACACTCAGCCGCAATTGCAAGTCTCCAGGTGACTGCGTCATGCTTGAGAACATCCCCGCGTAGGGGTGGGAGCTTACACATTTCGTAATTGATGCACTCCGGATACACATCGCATAATGAGCGAACGAGAATTGCTTTGGAGCTGTGCAGAGTCTGATCACTGGTCTTCATGATGGCCGACACCAGATCCCTGATTCCACTGGATTGTGAGCATTTTTCATGCCTGAGTTCAGTTCTTCCCTTTGACAAGTGGCGGGCTTTATCCAAGCTGACTTCAGGACTCGCCGTGACAAGATGCCAGAGCAGAGTTTCCATGGTTGCTTGACGAATATCCGTTCGGTCTGACTCGATCAAACGATGTACACATCGAACGAGTTTGGGGTCACGTTCGTGCATGAGAATTGCCACGAGGGCGTGCACGATGTACGGAACAACCTCGTACGCATCCCAAGCACCGGCGCCTACTGTGAGCATTGCCGGCAGGCAGTCTGCCAAAAGCGCCAGATACGGCGAAGAGTCCAACAGTGCGTTTGGCCTTCTGATCGCGAGACGACCCAGCTTTCGCAAGGCGCAATAATACTCGAAAAGATCATCATCCGTGACGCAGAGTGGCTGTGAAAGAATTTGAGGACAAATTCTTTCGGCAACCTTGTGCCCGATGAGCAGCGTGGAGTTATCTTTGATGTTCGCAGCTGTGAGCATACTCTCACGCGTGTGTTTGCTTAACACTTTCCAAGCTATGAAGTAGACGGATCGATGCGCGCGTGATTCCAAGGTGACGAAGCACTTTTTCTTCAACATCGACTCGTAGCAAACTCGAAGTTTACTTGATTTCAAATCAAGCTCGCAGTGTCGCAGCGCCTGGATAATCGCGATCGTACCACTCAACCACATCGGTGAATTTGTCGTATCGTTGTCACTCTTACGTATGAAGTGTCGCCTCGATCTGTTCCTGCGAGAAGTGAGTGCTTTGTGAATGGCTTGAGCCTCATTCTCGTTTTCGCTTCGCACATCCACATCTAGAGTAGATTTTTCGCAAGTGTATACCTCGATCCTATCGACTCGAATGCACAGCTGGTTGATGGACTCCGCAACAAAAGTGAGTTTCATAGGTTCAGCACTAGAATGAATTGCCATGGATTCTGCACACGTGAGAGGAACGTCGTACCACCTCTTTGCTTCACGTTCAAATTTGACGCATCGCCCACCGGGAAGAATAAGCTTTGAAGGTGCATAGGACTGCACAGTCATGCCACCTAGATGTAATCGAATTCCTCTGATGACGCGTTGATCTCCATGTGGTAGCTCTAGCGTGAGGTTCGCGTCACCTGAGTTAGGTGACTCGATATGACCGTCTTCTGACTGTAAGATGCTACTTATCGCCGCTGGAAGTGAACCTCGATTGAAAGATCCGCCAAAATTAATACTCGGTGTCACCCTCACAAGTTTTTCAAAGAAATTGTACGGAAACACACTCCAATCCATCGACGGTCTGTCATCTTTCGCATCGATGAAATCACTTTTCGGTGTTGGCAACGAGTGCACTCCTTCGTACGAATTGACTTGCATCGAGCCGTCACTTCTCAAAATGATGAGTGCAGATGGAAATTCCCCTGCACCTGTCCTCTGGTAGCCCGCATAACCAACCACGATTGAAGACGATGCGGCAGCGAAAATCTGTTTGACATCCATTCTATCGACGACGAGAAGAGACGACGATTCGCCCGTGGAATCCACGCGAATGAAGACCCGTCTCGGTCGCTGGAGCGTAGCATCCGGCCCCGCTGTATTTGGCAAACAAAAATCGATCACTCTCGAACATTTGTTGTCGCCTATGCTCAGAGTTTTCTGAACCTCGAGTGACACGTTCGACTGCGACGCGCTGCGAACGACACGGCACATAATAACGTCGCCTTCCCGTGTGTTGATCGTGACCATATCGTGTGTCTCTGAATATGTAGCGATGTGTACTTTTTGCCGACTGTCAACGCAGATTCTGTTGCAGTGGTCCTTCAAATGGAAAAGCGGTCCACCTTGGGGCTTCATCGGCACATCATTGATATGAATGCGACCTTTGGTCGTCGTTACGACATTGCACAAGTGACCACGAAGCGGAGAGTCAAGCCACACCGATGATGTGATGGTGTCGTCTGGTTGACAAGAAACCGTACACACAGGGACGCACGCACTGCGACTCAAATCGTATACAGAGGTGCGATTGGGTGAGGCAGTAGCAAAGAAAGATGTGTGGCCCGGAACCCAAAAGGCATTTATGATGAGATCGAATTCAAGAGCGCCATCTGGGGCTCCCAAACGTAATCTGTCCAGAATTTCTCCACCGGCACTCAGAGTGCAAATCTGTATCTCATGTAAGCCTATGACGGCGAGATAATCCTTGTTCGAGTGGTTGAATGTAACGTTCATTACGTCAAAGCCGATTAAGTTTCTCGAGCATGGTTTAATCCCCACCTTATCGCCGAGACGGACCGATCTACTCTCCGTGTTGGCTGACTGCGCTCCCACGACTACATTCGCATCGAGAATAGAAAGCTTGTCACCTTCCGCAATGGCAAGATATCCGTCTCTCGCACAAGCGACGCCATTTCGAACGATGATACCTTGTAACATGAACTCCTGCGCTTGCAATCGCGTTGGTGGAGGCCCTACCTCGAACGATCCTGCCTTGAAGTTGCGGGCGACATGCAGTGTGTGATTTGCATCTGTGACCATGACCTCACGTGAACTTGTTGAAGTCGATTGTTGGTCGGATCGCGTCACCTCTTCGTCATAAAGCGGCTTAAACCATGAAACGAGTACACTCTCTAACGCCTCAGTCACGTTCGCCTCGTCCAAGGCGACCCGTAAATCTTCAAGTGCTGATGCAGAGCACAGTCGACGCGCAATATTTGGCTCGTGAGATTCTTCATCGTCATCTCCCTCAGAGTCACTGTATGGCTCGATCTCAAAATGGTTCCTTTCTCCCTCAGAACTCGCTCTTCGCGAACCCACATCGTCTAAATCGCGTCTGTTTAAGCAATAACACCTGTTATGCGGCGCCGGACTCGCTCCATCAGCACCACAATCACAGAAAAATCTTGATTTCCTCGAGTAGACCACCCGATGGCCGCTATGGCACGTCTTCGCGCAGTTACTGCAACATCCACGGCTCGCGACGAGATCACAGTCGTAGCAAAAGTACCAATGCTGTTCTTGAAACGACTCTCCACTTGTCACGAACGTGCAGAGGCCGGACGACACGTCCACCGTGTCCTCGTTGCCGTGAGCGACGTTGGAATCTATTTCGTCATCGTTCTCATGATTTGCCAGCAATGTTCTTTCTCGCGTAACCAGTCGAGCCCCTTCGTCAGAGGCTAGAAGCCTTCCCCATAAAGCTGGAAGGGTATTTCTCTGACCAGTATTCTCAACGTCGGGCGGTGGTTGATCAGCGGCGAGTGTTGCCACAGCTGCATCAAGCACAGTATCTAATCGCGCAAGCCTTCTTTCAAGTAATTCCTCAGTGGGATCGTCGTCCATCAAATTTTCCGGCATCACGAGTAGATTTTCCAACTCTCGCTGGAGATTGAGTACACCATGATCTTCGCCGCGCTCACGCCCTAAGTTTTGAGCAACTGGTTGAGATTGACGCCTCACCTCTGCAGCCGCAACTTGCGAGTCACCAGTGCTTTTCAAGGGACGCGACGGTAAAGAATCGCGAATAACGGCCTGTCTCTTACGCAGTACAAAGCTCACGATGCGTAGAGCTGGGATGAATCTAGCAACTTGGTCGTCATCTGCCAAAACTTTAGCCCGCTCCAGAGCGGCGACCAAACTTGTCGCCACCACGCTCGGTCCATTCTTTTGACAGCATAAACCGAGTCGAATCAACGTCAACGGTGCCGAATCTAAAACGAGTTTGTTCGCTTTCGCCGCGACAAAGCGCTCATCTAACAAGAAAGACTCTGGAAACTCGTTGAAAACCATCCGAAGTAGCGTGGGAACGTATCCATGATTGTTATCGTTCACATTGTCATTGCTCGTCATTGTCTCCAGGAACTTGACCACAGAGTCGCGAGTGTCCAAATCGCTGCTGCAAAGACGACTTAAGATGCTTTTCGATACCTCGTTCCGCGGAAACATGCCGAAAACGGCGTCCACCTTGATCAGATTTTCCGCGCTCGAGACTGCAATGGAGTACAGGGCGCTCATGAGCGCGCATGACGCCTCACTTGAAACGTGCAACCATTCCGTACTCTTGATGAAAACCTCGACGACGATGTGTACCAAGTTGTAATTGTTGGTGGAAAATTGCGGCCCGAGGAGCGCACAAGCCCTTTCAGCTTCCAAAGCAACGCACTCAACCATTTCTGCTGTCGTACTTGGACTCAGCGCCTCGAGACAATAATGCGTCAGCAGCCCAGCGCCTAGATTGAGCTTGTTTTCCGCGCGTTTCCGCACATTTCCGAGTGCTTGACGTAGAAACGTGACGCACTGATCAAGATTTGCGCGATAGAGGTTGAGAAACATTGAGTCAGTCTCAGCATTCGGTCTGGAAGTCTCACCACCGGTGACGTGTGCGTCATCGAGAGACTCAGTGAGCGCTTTCATCACCATCGCATCTTCGCTCGACGTAAACGCGCTCAAGTCACCGTCTTCTTGTTCGCACTTCATACGATCGATGATCTTCGCGGACCAAGGCTCGGCGAAGCACCTTGAGATGCACGCACGCAGGACTTCGCACCACCTCCCGACGCATTTGACTTCCAAATCCGCCTCATCCCACCCCTCGATCCGATCCAGAACGAAGACCGCGATCTTCATCACCGCCAAATACGTTTCGTACACCACTTGATCATCGTCCTGCAGAGACGCGCTCAGGGCGTCGACGTTCGAGCTGAACGTCGCGATGCACCCTTCGCACGCGCGCAGCGCCGTCGCTCTCCGCTCTCGCGTCGACCCCACTCCCAACAACTCCTCCGGCGCGTCACCCACCGCGATGATCGACCGCAGACAGTGCGCAGCGAGTGCGTGCGATACCATCTTACTCCCTCCCCTGTGCGCTCGCGCCGCTCGTCTCAACGCTCGGTACAACTCTTTCAACTCGCTCGCTCCCTCGTCCTCCGCCGCGTCGCCGCCCGGGCGTCCTCCAACCGTCGACGTCCTCGCCCCGACGTCCACCTCGGCGACGACGAGCTCGGACCCCCCGACCCCTTCCCGCCCATCGCGCGCGCCCGTCCCATCGCTCGCGCGCCCGCGCGCGCCCGTCGCGGACGCGTCGTCGTCGTCGTCGTTCATCTCGACACGCCGCCCTCGATGTCGTCCGTCTCCCGCTGATTCCATCGCCGTCGCCCCGCCCCACGCCCGGGCGTCGCGCGCGCGACCGCGACGCGCGCGACGCCCGCGCGCGGTCGGTCGAACCCGCCCCTTTCCCGCGTCGTCCGCCGCGCGCGTCGTCCGCGTCGGTGTGTCCCGTCGTCCCGTCGATGGTCATTTAATGCTAACCGACGACCGCGCGCGTGGCGATAAATCGCACGCGGGCTCGATGTCGTCGTATTCAAGACGCGCTAACGGTATCACGCGACACACGACGCGCACGCGCGACGCGGACCATCACCGGCGACGCGTCGACCGTCGCGCGCGCGCGCGCGACGCTCGCTCGCGCGATTCGCGCGCGCGAGGGGGTCGAGGGAATTCGTCGTCGTCACCGCGTCCGTCGCGCCGCGCGCGGGCGACGCGGGGAGGGTCGAGCGTGGAAAGAAAGAGATCTCGCGAGACGCGCCCCGCGAGCATCCGCGGGAGATTGTCGATGGCGAATTTCAGGCTGGACGCGAGGGCGACGCGAGATGCGCGCGCGAAGGATGCGACGAGGGTGATGAGCGCGCGCGCGTCTCCGTCGACGCCGCCGTTGGAGGGCGAGCAGAGGGAGACGTCTGGGGTTGGGGCGTCGGGGGCGAAACGCTCGGCGGGCGACGCGGGCGGGCGGAGAGGAAAGGCGTGTAAACGCGTCGATCGAGACGTCAGTGGACGGTTGTTGGAGGTGGACGAGCGAGGAGAGTTCATGTTTGGGTGCGAGCAGTGCGCGTTCGATCCGGACGGGTGCGAGCGGTGTCTCGGAGGACCACCGGTGCGGAGTGAGTGCCTGTGGGACGAGGCGCTCACGTGGGACGTACCGCCGGTGAAGGTGTACCATCCAACGGAGGAGGAGTGGTCGAACGATCCGTTGGAGTACATAAATTCCATCAGACCGGAGGCGGAGAAGTACGGGGTGTGCAACATCGTGCCCCCGGCGAGTTGGAAACCGGACTTTTGTCTTCCCGGGAAGGAGAAGCTGCGGTTTCGGACGCGCATACAGGCGCTGAACGAGTTGCAAAATCGTCCGGCGGGTCCGAGCGCGCGGGCGCGGGCCAAAATGCTCGAGGAAGAAGGAAACAAAAAAGGATCATCATCATCGAACGCGAGCGGCGTCGCGTCGGGCGGTCGCATGGGTGGAGGCGGTCGTATGGGCGGTGCGTCGCAGGCCGATGCCGATGCCCTGGCGGAGAAGTATGGATTTCAACAAGGATCGAGGCACAACTTGGAGACACTGGAGAGGTACTCGCATTATTTCAAGAAGAAGTATTTCAGTAAGGACGGGCGGCCGGTGGAGAACGTGACGGTGAAGGACATGGAGGGGGAATTCTGGCGCCTCATTGAGAATAACAAGGGTAGAAACGTCGAAGTTATTTATGGCGCTGATATCGCCACCATGGAGGTTGGGAGTGGGTTCGCCAAGAAGGGTAGTGACTCGTGCCCGCCCGGGCAGGAGCGCTACGCCGAAAGTCCTTGGAACGTGTGCAACATGCCGTACAACTCGGAGAGTTGTTTAAGCCACGTTGAGGCGACGACAGGTATCACCGTTCCCTGGTTGTACTTTGGCATGACTCTGTCCGCGTTCTGCTGGCACGTGGAAGATCACAACTTCTACAGTGTGAACTATCATCACTTCGGCGCGCCGAAGGTTTGGTACTCCATTCCAGCGTCGCACTCAAAGCAGTTTGAGGAGGTGATGCGCAAGCGCCTTCCACACTTGTTCCAATCGCAGCCCGATTTACTCCACAGCTTGGTCACCATCCTTTCACCAAAGGTGTTACAAGACGAAGGTATTCCGGTGTATCGCGCTGAGCAACATCCGCGAAGCTACATCATCACCTTCCCGTATGCGTATCACTCCGGTTTCAACACTGGTTTCAACTGTGCAGAGGCGGTCAACTTTGCGCCCATTGACTGGTTGCCGTTCGGCGTCGGCGCCACGGAGCGGTACGCCAGCGATAAGCGGTACCAGTCCGTCGCGCACGACCAGTTGTTGTCCGTACTCGCCGAAAGCGCTCACAAGCATCCGCGCTTCCCGCCAGTGCTCGCAAAGGTGATGAAGGAGCGCATTGATGACGAGGACGAACGCCGAAAGGCTGCCTCCAGCGCGGTCGCTCGAGAAATTCGAATGGAAAACACGCTCGAGGCACCAGATTTTAACGAACGCGACTGCACAAATTGTCTGGCGGATCTGAATTGGTCGTGCGTCACGTGTGCGTGTTCTTTCGCCAAAGGTAATGGGTATGCTTACTGTCTGCGATGTGTCACAGCGTGCAAATGCGACGCGGAGAAGCGCACGCTCTTTTATCGAAACACAATGAAAGAGCTTCGCGACACAGTTTCGCGTATCGAGGGATTATGCAAGCCGACTTAGTTTAAATGTTGTGAAGCAATGTTTTGTGTACAATTTTCCGCCTCTCGCCGCGCCTCTCGCGCGCCTACCAACCGTCGCTAAATCTATCCCCGTTCACCGTCGCCTGAACCTGCGCCCATGAACCGTGATCGTAACTAATCATGTCGTTTCGACTCTGCACGCTGAGCAACAACAGTGGCTTCTGGCTGAGAAGTCGCGTCATGCCCTCGTCGTCCTGGATGTCGAGCTTTTCTCTCAACAACTCAACGTGTCCACGCATGTCTCTTACCTCCCACAACTCGGGGTAATCGGACAAAATCGCGTCCCATCGCAATCGTGGACACGACACTCGAAGCTCACCCACCTTGCGCGCGATCTCCTCGTCGCTCTCGAGCAGCAGGTTCGGCCGCGTCGAGAGCATCTTCGCCAGGTTCGCCTCTGGCAGCAAGTCTCGCATCCGAATAATCTTCATCGCCACGTCTTCCACGCTCGCCGCCAAGCGCACGATGTCCGCCGTCAGGACCTCTCCCACCCTCCTCTCCAAGCCCGGCACGAGCGCGAACAACGTCCCCAACCGCTCCCCGACCTCGTCTTCGCGCATCTCGAGCTCATCCGCCACCGCCTCCACGCACAACCTCAACTTCGCCGCCGCGGTCCACCCCGGGTGCTCGGCGATGTTATCCCTCGACGCGCTCTCGTCGACGATATCGCCCAGTTCCGTCGTTCGGTGCTCCTTACGCTTACTCTCGTATCGATTCACCGACCACGCGTCGCCCGCGAGCTCTCGGAGCGCATCGATCGCGTCGTCGTTCGACCCACGCGCGCGCGCGCGTCCGAGTCGTCGTCCGCGCGTCGCGCGCGCGCGCGG